GTCAACCAATTCCAGCCAGCCTAGAACTGGATTTTTAAAAGCCCAGGGAAGGCAGGAGACAAGGCCTTGGTCCAGAGTAGTGAGAGAGACTTCTGCATCAAACAGATCCTCTGGTGGATCATCTTTAATAGATTAATTATAGAAAAAGAAGACTATAAAGAGAGACAGAAACTGTATTTGACTTTCTCAGCTTATGTAATAGATGGGACAAGAGGATAAATAAGCAACTACCTTTAATAATTACCAACTACACTCACGGGATTTTTACCTGTAATTCATATTACTTGTATAGTCCAAATTGTAATTAGGCTAAATAGGCCCTATACATGGTAGAAACAAATTTAAATCTTCTTTAGAGCTTTCCATACCAGCCTCAAAGATCATAAAGATAAAAACCTAAACAACCTGACCTTCTAAATGGACAATTCACCAACTACATGGGGAAAACATCACCATGAAAACAAGCCAGCAGCAAAAACTAATAGCAGAATTAGTCACATATTTTAGAATTGTGAGATATATTTCATATGTATCAAGAAATGAATGCTGAAAAAGAAATTTTTAAAGAAAAAGAGACTTTCCAAATTACCCAGACAGATTTGAAAAGGAACTTCAAAATATGAAAAATGTAGTGATTGAAAAAAGTAAGGCAGTGAATGCATTAAATAGCAGATTAGTCATGGTTGCAGATAGGATCAGTGAACTACAGATTGAGCAAGTTTCACAGAATGCATCCCAGAGAGAGAAGGATATGGGAAGTCTGAAGGTGAGATTGAAGATTAAGACTGTGTGAAAAGGTCTAATACATGCTGAATTAGTATTCTGTTAAGAAGAACTAGAGAATAATGTAAAGGCAGTTTTCAGAGGCTGAAACTTCTGAAGATTTAAACATTACAAGTTTAGGAATTCCAATAAAGAAATGTTTTATCCCATATAAACAACATTTTAACCTTTCTAATAGAAAAGACACAGAGAATCTGAAAAGTATCTATAGAGAAGTAGTATTCTGAGATGGCTGACTTCTCACCAGAAACAGTGGAAGCTTGAGGACAGTGGAATGATATCTTTGAAGTGCCATTAGTCTGAAATTCTGTACCTCTATAACCAATGGAATTTTTTTTCAAGAGCAGTAAAATAAAGTCATTTTCCAAGGTTACCAAAAGACTCCCAGAAGGGCTTTTTATGGGATGTTCTTCAGAACAAAATCTGTGATCCCAGAAGGAAGTATGAGCTACAAAAAAAAAAAAAAGAAAATAGAGCAAAGAATGCATTTGTAAATCTAGATAAACATTGATTGTTCAAAGTAATGTCAGTAACAGGTAATTTCTAGAGTCAAAAAAAACAATGTATAATTATGAGGAACTCATATTTGTCAAGAGGTGGGTAATCAGAGTTGAAACATTCTAAAGTCTGTATTATTTGAGAAAAGTTTAAAAAGAATATCTAGACTTTGTTATGTTGGATAACCACTAAATAATACAATGTATATCATTCAAAGTAGTACGGGGGGGGAATACAGAAGTGAATATGAATATATCAGTGGATACAGTCACTATAAATGGACACACTCTTGAGTTAAAGACAAAGCCTAGTTTCAAAAAAAACATATTGTTTATAAGAAATGACTGATATGAACACAGAATCTTTAAAAATAAAAATGGTATAAAATTTAATTATTAACCAATTACCTTTCATTTTATTTGCTGCAAGAGCAATAGTTACTTCATATGCATAAATGGTTTCACCAGGAAGATCTAATAATTCCATTCTAAATAAAATAAAAATCAATAGAACTGCAAAGAACATAAACAAATCCACAATATAATAATTAAGTTTGACATAATGGTCTTATTAAAAACAACTGGAGAATTAAAAACAGAGATTCTTCTGATCCAGTAGCACTTGTATTAATTAATAATAGATTCAGTGAAGCATAAGAAAAATGGACTCATAAAGGGAGTTTGACATTTGAGTAAAAATCACTTATGCTGTGAAGTAATATGTAGTAAGAGCCTACTGAAGAATCATAGTGATTAATTTGTAGGTTCAAGGGAAAATTAGTAGTTTAGCTTGGAGCTTACAAAAGAAATGATTTTTTTCCTTTTAAACTGATCATTTTTCTGATGATTAAAGTAGTACAACCAAATGTCAGAAGGGCAAGATAATTATGAGCACATTAAATTAAATATTGTGTATAACAACCAAAAATCGCCATAAATAAGATTGTTATTTGGAACATACAAGTGTACATTGTTTTCTTGTGCTTAGCAGAGACTGTTTTTTTGCAAGTTGATTCCAGCCCTCATGGGTAACACTGACATGTTCGAGACTTCAGTGGAGGAAGTACTACACATGTTGTAGAAATAGCAAGAAAACTACAATTAGAAGTGAAGCCTGAAGATGTGACTAAATTGCTGCAATTTTATTGACAAAACTCTAGTGGAGGAAGTGTTTCTTATGGATTAGCAAAGAAAGTGGTTTCCTGAGGTGAGACCTACTGCTGGTAAAGAGGCCCTAAAGATTGTTGAAATGACATGAAAGGATTGGGAATATTATATAAACTGAGTTGATAAAGCAGCAGACTGAAGTTTTGAAAGTTCTATGGTAGGTAAAATGCTATTGAACAGCAAGCATCACATGCTTCAGAGAAATTGTTGGTGAAAGGAAAATCAGTTGATATAGCAGACTTCTTTGTTGTCTTATTTCAAGAAATTGCCACAGCCACCTGAACCTTCAGCAACCACCGCCCTGATCAGTTAGCACCCATCAACATCGAGGCAGGACCCTCCACCAGCAAAAAGATTAGGACTCACTGAAAGTACAGAGTGTTAGCACTTTTTAGCAATAAAGTGTTTTTTAGTTAAAGGACACACAATGTATTTTTAGACATAATGCTATCACACACTTAAGAGACTATAATGTAAACATAACTTTTATATTCATTGGGAAACCAATAAATTCACTTAACTTTCGTTATTGTAATATTCACTTTATCGTGGTGGTCTGGAACCAAACCCGCAGTATCTAACCTGCAGGTATGCCTGTCTGTGCAACTGAGGTGACAGAAAGACAGTAAGAAATTTGGGCAAAAGGCATGAAAAGGTTATTCACACACAAAAAAGAGAAGCTAATAAATACTTGAAAAGATGTACAACATCAAATGTAATCAGAGGAATTACAAAAGCAATAATGAGATAACATTTTCCATGTCAGATTGGCAAGGATGAGAAAACTTGAAAAATTCATTCTTAAGGGATTATGTACAGAGGGTTTTAGCCAGGTATTTTCCCTGTTCTTCATATTGGCTTATTGTCCTTTAACTTAGCTTATGATCTTTCTTTTTTTGCCATGCACAAGAATTTGATGTTTTATAATACTATTTGTCAGAGTCTTGCAGTTTTTATGAGGTTTGAATTACTTTCATCTTCTGTGAACAATTTGATATACTCTTTGATCCAGTAATTCCACTTCTAGGAATTTGTCCCAATGTACAAAATTATGTATATGTTCAAGATTGTTCTTTGTAGTCTTGTTAATATTAGTGAAGAAGTGGGTAAATTTCCAGGAATAGAGGACTTTCTAAGGAAATTATGATGTGTGTGTGTGTGTGTGTGTGTGTGTGTATACTTACAGACTTACATATATGTATATATGCACCATTTAAAAGATTATGTAGAGTAATAGTAACCATTTAAATGATATGTAGATTAATATTTACATAGAAAGCCATTACTAAGTCTTTACACACATGACAGTAGTACTAAGTGGAAAAAGAATAGAGCTACTTCTTGTGTAAACTTGTGGGTGTACCTATCAGTTGTAAGCAGTAATTTGCTCATAGCCACATAGACAGCAGTCATATCCCTTGATGAGTGTAGTCAGTGCTGCAAAATGGAAAGGACTGAAAGAGAATTTAGGGGGGACTGAATTTCAGTCATTGTTTGACTGCTTTTGACAGATCTCTTTATATCATGGCCACATTAAAAGCCCTTACCACTGAAAATGAGGGAATGGTTTGAGCTCTGGACTTCATTAGCAATGACAAACAGCGTCATGGTTGTCCCACCCCCACCTCTGCACCCAGGGGAGATATTAGTCGTCAGCCCTACCCTTCTTTCTCTGGGCTCGGCCATACCGCAGAATTCTTCTCAACACACCATTTTAGGTTACCATTTCTAAGCATACTGTACTTTGCCCTTGAAACTTCTTTGCCGTCCTTGGATAAGATGATCTTCAAAGTCCTTTCAGCTAATGGATTTTCCTGATCAAGGAACAGAGTTATTGTGATGAGAAATAATAGGAGTATTTTTCACACACAAAAAAAAATGTTTTACTTTTCTAGTAGCCACAGATGAGAAAAGCTTTGAAAAAAGGTGAAACAAACTTTGGTAATACATGTTATTAAATAAAATATTTCAACTTGTAACTGATATGAAACAATTGTTAATGGAATGTTTCACATTGTTGTTTTTTCATATAAAAACTTTGAAATCCAGTGCGTATTTATAGCAAACCCCATTTTAGATGATAGATTTTTATTGAAGATCCTTGATCTGTATTTATAGTTTAAGAAGTAGGTTCTCATATGCCCACATTCTTAGATTTTTCTAATACTTGTGTTGAGTGCTGGTTTTTAAATTTAATTAAAATTAAATAAAATTGAAGTGGTTGGTGTCCAGGTTGCCACACTGGATAGCAGGAATTGAGAAAATACAGAAAGAAAACCATGCCATTCAATTTTAGCCTTCAAGGAGATTTTCTGGTTGGGAAAGTAAGACACAGCAAATAAGCCTATCAGTAATATAATCCAAAACTCTATTAAGTGCTAAAAGTTGCAGTGGACAACTTAGTTGTCCATTTAAGTTCTGCTTGGGTAGCATGTTCCAGAAACACCACAGCTTGATACATTCTTCACCACTTTGAGGTTTGAATGGTGGCAATGACGTGTTGAGTTTGTAAGAATGGAGTGTCTTACTTTAGAAAGTATGTTCTCCCCACAGGCATGGGACGCGCTGCGCTGGAGAAGTGGCAGCTGCAGCGAACAACTCACACTGCACCGTGGGAATTGCCTTCAATGCCAAAATCGGAGGTATGGGAAATAATCTTCTACATGGATATAGAAATGAACATGGGTTTGCAGAGCCCTTGTTGAACTGAAGACAGCGTGTGTTTTTTGCATAGCAGTGTTTAGCTGTTGTTAACAGCAAAATGTCCATGTTCTCATGTGTTATTCAATACAGTTAGAGGCTTCTGGAGCAGTACCTCTAAGGTGTTGCAAACATAGACAGTTCTTTCCTTAAACAGGCATGAAAAAAATGTTTAATAATGAAGATAGGGTCATTGACATCTGTACCAAACTATACAGGTGTTTCTGGGTCAGAAAGAAGTAATAATATAAACATCAGGCCGTAATATCTCTATGGAAAGAAGCATTTTGAATTTCTGTCCAAGCAGAAAATTTTTTTTCTTTTCCTTAGGCTTTACAAAAAGTTCCTTTTGATTGCAATCAAAATGGTAAATGGTAAAATCTTCTTTTGTAGTCCCATAATGTAGTGATACTATTTCCATTAGTAATGCCAGATTATATATGATATTGCACACAGATGCACAAACTCATATACATAGGCTTAAGCAACGCAGTATAAATCCAGGCATTATTAGAAGCAAATTCTTACTTTACCATTTGTAATCATCTCTGTTAACTGTAGCCTGGTGCCACAGCCACACACAAATGGGAAGAAAACACTGTAAGAGATGTTTTAAATCCTAGTAGCTTGGAAGGTGTCCCATGGGAGTCTCCTAAACAGTGTTACAGATTAATGTAGCTCCTGGAATTAGATCGACTTCTTTGTTTCCAAGTGGTAGATATAGATGGTTCTGAAAAAGGAAAATGACAGTCCTTTCTAGGGTAAATGAAGACATTTTGTAAAAGGGACAATTGGGATATATAATGATGATGCAAAGAAAAGTTTTTCGGAGACTATCTTGAATGTCAGACCTCAGTAAAAATTTGACCCCTTTCTTTATTTTACTTCACACTGAATCCTGAGAGTATGGCAGCTTGCTGGCCAGTATGGCAGCTGTATTCTGAGAGCATCTGCTGTGTGTCAAGGGAGAGGTTCATGGAGGAGCTAAAGACAGGGGAAAGACTTGGCATGGGCATTGGAGGCCCCTGATCTTCTCAAGAGAATCAGAGGATGGCAGTGACTGCCCCGTCAGCCCTTCTCGCTGTCCTGGACACACATGGTCTCCCACACATGGAGACATGCATCCATGTCCCTGTCATAACCCTCCAGTGCTAACCCAGCACTCACTCACCTTGAGAGAATGAAGAGATGCATTTGTGAACCTCACAGATGAATTGCTGACCTAGCTGAACAGAACCTGTTAAAAAAAAAAAAAAAGTATGGCAGTGACTTACAAATGTTCTGTCATCCAAAAAACAAGAACATTCTGAATTATAAATTTAACCCACAGACCCAAGATGTGAAGGTGTCAGTCACATAAAGAAAAAATTGCCTTTCATCTCTAAACTTGAAGAAACAAAATTCTTATTTGTTAATTTTTGGCCAGACAATTCTTATTACCCTCTAGATAGAATTCCATCAAGCATTTTATTTCAGGGACTTCCCGTCAGTTTCATGATGTCAAAACTGAATTCAGGTGTTGTATGGGTACTCCTGCATGCTGGCTGTGATACTGGTTGGATTATGCAGTGGAGTTAATACTGTGCAGAGTTTATTTCGGATCTCTTTGTACAGTAGAAGTTCCATTGTATACCTTTAAGTAGAAAGTAAGAATTTGAATTAGTTCATCTTTCTTTGGTAAAAACCATGCAGATGAATTTTGAATATTCATGTCAAATTAAAACAAACCAATAGTTACTTAGGACCCATTCCATGCAGAGCCCCACACCTGGGATTCTGCTCCACAAAACAAAGTTCTGACAAGCCTTTAAGTACAGTTTCCATTCCGTAATTTTTAAAGGAACTTGTTCACAATGTTTTTATTGCCATTCGATTTTGAAAAAATACTGAAGTATTTAGTGTCATATCTGTCATATAACTTGGAATGGTTCAGCCTAATATTTATGTTTTTAAATGCAGAAAATGTGGCAGAATGTCAACAGTTGTTGAGTACTATATCAGTGCTGGTGGTCATTCTTTTTTATCCCCATGTTTGTAAATTTTATAGTTAAAACTTGAACATTTTTTTAAAGTACAAAGAAAATAAAGTGCCTTCCATAATATTTTTATTTTCTACCAGTAGTCCATCCTCAAACCACATAGCATCTAAAACTGCCTGATTAGGGGTTTTATTACTTACGCCCTACTTACTGGTTACCAGTAAAAACTTGAAATCCTACTAGGCAACAAGGTTTTCCCAAGGAGTAAGCTTGGCCTGTAAAGATAAAATTTTAAAATAATACAATGTTTCGGGGATGTTATTTAGCTTAAGCTGAAGGAGACTGATGTTTGCTTAATAGTTAGATGTGGTGGTGTTCTATGTCTCCAAAATAAAAGGAAAAAAGGAAAGGCCCGGCATTTGACATATAATTGATTTCTGAGTATCTGTGTCCATTTCTGCAAATTAAGGTTAATAATAAATTCCTATCTGTCCTGTGGAAATATACTTAAATGAAGATTAATGACTAAACCTTGCTAAAACCCCTCAAGGATTTTTCAGTGTGTCCATGCACAGAGAACATTCTCATTTATTATTTACTTTATAAATAACTTGGCAAAGTAGTGATATATTAAGTTTGCATCAGTCTTATAGATTAGGAAATAATATTAAATATGCAGGGAATTAGACAGCCTAACTTGGCAGCTTTCCAGATTTTGTGAGACTACTAAGGTCAGAATGCTTTATACCAATTATGAACACAAGTTATTTAATAAAGAGAAATTTAGGGAAGATGGATAGCTTGCAGCCCTCTCTGGCAAGGGCTCACTGGAGACAGATAAAAAGAAGGCAGAAACTGTGGAATTTAGAAGAAGAACAATAGATATTTTAAAGAAATTTTGCTCTTTTACATGCATTGTAACTTCCTTTCTCTCCAGAAAAGCTTCAGAAAAGTCCACATTATCCTTTTTTGGGGGAAAACATGCTCACACAAGTGTTGATTATAAATTTATTCTTTCTTCTCAAAATGCTGTAACTGGAATATGTCTTTGGGTGTTAAGTAGCAAGCCTCTAATCAAACCACTTCCCATCTGTCCTAAAGGAGTTCGGATGCTTGATGGAGATGTCACAGACATGGTGGAAGCGAAGTCTGTGAGCTTCAATCCCCAGCACGTGCACATCTACAGTGCCAGCTGGGGCCCAGATGATGACGGCAAGACCGTGGATGGCCCAGCTCCGCTCACTCGGCAGGCTTTTGAAAATGGCGTCAGAATGGTAGGTTTGAAAAGCTCAGCTCAAACTCTGTCGATCAGTGTTGACTCTCATAGGAAGCCTCTATTAAACTATGGTTTCCATCCTCCAGTCTGGATGAGTGGATGGAGCTCGCAGGCTGAGCCAGGAGACAGGTTAACAGGAAGAGGTACTGAACCTTCGCAGTTGTGCATTCCATCAGTTTTGGAAATGAGCTAAGAGCTGGAGAATTTCCCTTGACAAAAACAGAGGTATATTTGGATGGTTAGATTTGCAAAGGGAATGTATCTGTGAATATGTTAATCTTGCATTTGGAGAAGTAAATTCTCAGGACTGTGAGATTGAGAAGTCAAGATATTGAACCTCTCCAGTTGGTGTTGACAGGTGGTCCAACCATGGCCTTCTGGTCATCTCTCTTTTGTGGTCCCTTCTCTCATGCCACCTCTGACCCAGGACAATATTACTGGTATGCTGGCTTCCTGGATCCCAAACCAGATAGTGCAGCCCATCATCATTTTCCTTGACTTCACTAAAAGGTTCACTGACCACTTATCCCCAAAAAACTGACCACATAACCTAACTAAATGTTTCAAATTACAGCTCTAAAAAATCCTGTCCTATTTAAATTAAATAAAAAATATGGACATTGCATGCTTACAATCATGCAAGGAGGAGAGCTGCACCAGAGGCAACCCCTTTGTCTTTCTGTTTTACCACCAGCCTCAACTAAAATGTTGTCACTTCTCAGAAGCCTTCTCACTGCCCAGCTAGAATTAAGTATAAACAATCCCTACCCTGTTTTCCCTGTACTTTATATCAGAGTTAGTTTTGTGTGTGTCTTCCCTGCTAAATCGGAAGTTCCTGGAGAGTAGAGCTTGTGCTTTACTAATCTTTATAGACTTTGTAAAACCCTTAGAATACATTGAACTCCAGTGAGTGGTACTCGGTAAATGTTTGTTATATTTAAATTAATTTACTATAAATTACACTAACCACAGAGTTGTTATATATTCAGTTCAGATTGGGAGCAGTGGAATGCATGCAGTTATTAGTGTAATGTTGGTTCTTCTACCTTGGTGGAATTGGTGTTAGGGTTTTAATCACAAGACTGAGCTGAGCTGTCTTCTTGTAATTAGGAAATAAACTGGAGGGGAAAGCTTATGCACTGCTTATGTACGTATTTCCTAACTACAAGACAGTTTGGTTAAGACATACTTTTTAGCTCCGTCAGTACTCAGCTACATCAGAACCCTTTTAAACTATAGGATAATGTTTCAATCCATTGCCTAGAATTTTCCTTTCAAGGTGCCTGAACACCAAATGAATGAACTCTAACCTGGTGATCTCATTACCAAAGCCATAGACTATAGATTAGTATTCTCTCTCTCTATGCCATCAATAGAATGGTCATTCAAGTTAAGTAAATCAAGCTTAATTCATATTTAATTTTCAAACTGTATGTATAGAGCTCTTAATGTAATGGAGAGCAAGCTGGAATTTCTCATTAATATACTAGGACTGCACATAATCTTACAAGTGTATATTTATGGAAAGAATGCCCCATACTTAGTAGCTGTCATTGAGTCACATGACATGGTACAATGGTTTTCAGATTTATTTTTTCTAAGGAAATCTTTCCTTTAGTGACAGTCTGAACTGTGGAAGTCCAATGTGTAAGCCAAATTAAAAATGTACTTTGGTTGAAGGGGAAAAGGGTAACGATTAAAAACGAGATCATCTGAGGACGCTGTTCAGACTTATAAGATTATGTTAAGAAGTTATTTTGGAAAACTTTATTCTATACTCATTAATTACAAAAGTAACCCCATGCTTATTATAATAAATCATACTATAAAGATGAAATTAAAATTAGATTTCCCACCCACTTGATAAGCATTGTGAGGGGTGTGGACTCTCTCTCCCCCATATTCCTATGTACATTCATTATACTAAATGGGGATCATATGCCCTGCATGTTGCTGTTTTCACCTAACAGAATATTTTGGGCATCCTTCCCAGAAAATCCATAAGGGTAGAACTCATTTATTTTAATGTTTCAAAATTTTTGGAGTATAAAGATACCATAATTAATTCAACATTCCATTGAGGATGTTTCAAGCTTTAATCTAGGAAAAAAGGGTTTTTGTTTTAAAACAAACCATTACTTTTAGAGTTAAGGTAGTAACAAAAGAAATAACTCTTAAAAACACCAAATTATTCTCTGGCTCCAAGCATTGCACATCCAGTTATGTAAAAGCAGCAGTGACCTATTTAAATGTTATAATATTTTTATTTTCTACCAGTAGTCCATCCTCAAACCACATAGCATCTAAAACTGCCTGATTAGGGGTTTTATTACTTACGCCCTACTTACTGGTTACCAGTAAAAACTTGAAATCCTACTAGGCAACAAGGTTTTCCCAAGGAGTAAGCTTGGCCTGTAAAGATAAAATTTTAAAATAATACAATGTTTCGGGGATGTTATTTAGCTTAAGCTGAAGGAGACTGATGTTTGCTTAATAGTTAGATGTGGTGGTGTTCTATGTCTCCAAAATAAAAGGAAAAAAGGAAAGGCCTGGCATTTGACATATAATTGATTTCTGAGTATCTGTGTCCATTTCTGCAAATTAAGGTTAATAATAAATTCCTATCTGTCCCGTGGAAATATACTTAAATGAAGATTAATGACTAAACCTTGCTAAAACCCCTCAAGGATTTTTCAGTGTGTCCATGCACAGAGAACATTCTCATTTATTATTTACTTTATAAATAACTTGGCAAAGTAGTGATATATTAAGTTTGCATCAGTCTTATAGATTAGGAAATAATATTAAATATGCAGGGAATTAGACAGCCTAACTTGGCAGCTTTCCAGATTTTGTGAGACTACTAAGGTCAGAATGCTTTATACCAATTATGAACACAAGTTATTTAATAAAGAGAAATTTAGGGAAGATGGATAGCTTGCAGCCCTCTCTCGCAAGGGCTCACTGGAGACAGATAAAAAGAAGGCAGAAACTGTGGAATTTAGAAGAAGAACAATAGATATTTTAAAGAAATTTTGCTCTTTTACATGCATTGTAACTTCCTTTCTCTCCAGAAAAGCTTCAGAAAAGTCCACATTATCCTTTTTTGGGGAAAAACATGCTCACACAAGTGTTGATTATAAATTTATTCTTTCTTCTCAAAATGCTGTAACTGGAATATGTCTTTGGGTGTTAACTAGCAAGCCTCTAATCAAACCACTTCCCATCTGTCCTAAAGGAGTTCGGATGCTTGATGGAGATGTCACAGACATGGTGGAAGCGAAGTCGGTGAGCTTCAATCCCCAGCACGTGCACATCTACAGTGCTAGCTGGGGCCCAGATGATGACGGCAAGACCGTGGATGGCCCAGCTCCGCTCACTCGGCAGGCTTTTGAAAATGGCGTCAGAATGGTAGGTTTGAAAAGCTCAGCTCAAACTCTGTCGATCAGTGTTGACTCTCATAGGAAGCCTCTATTAAACTATGGTTTCCATCCTCCAGTCTAGATGAGTGGATGGAGCTCGCAGGCTGAGCCAGGAGACAGGTTAACAGGAAGAGGTACTGAACCTTCGCAGTTGTGCATTCCATCAGTTTTGGAAATGAGCTAAGAGCTGGAGAATTTCCCTTGACAAAAACAGAGGTATATTTGGATGGTTAGATTTGTTCAAAGGGAATGTATCTGTGAATATGTTAATCTTGCATTTGGAGAAGTAAATTCTCAGGACTGTGAGATTGAGAAGTCAAGATATTGAACCTCTCCAGTTGGTGTTGACAGGTGGTCCAACCATGGCCTTCTGGTCATCTCTCTTTTGTGGTCCCTTCTCTCATGCCACCTCTGACCCAGGACAATATTACTGGTATGCTGGCTTCCTGGATCCCAAACCAGATAGTGCAGCCCATCATCATTTTCCTTGACTTCACTAAAAGGTTCACTGACCACTTATCCCCAAAAAACTGACCACATAACCTAACTAAATGTTTCAAATTACAGCTCTAAAAAATCCTGTCCTATTTAAATTAAATAAAAAATATGGACATTGCATGCTTACAATCATGCAAGGAGGAGAGCTGCACCAGAGGCAACCCCTTTGTCTTTCTGTTTTACCACAAGCCTCAACTAAAATGTTGTCACTTCTCAGAAGCCTTCTCACTGCCCAGCTAGAATTAAGTATAAACAATCCCTACCCTGTTTTCCCTGTACTTTATATCAGAGTTAGTTTTGTGTGTGTCTTCCCTGCTAAATCGGAAGTTCCTGGAGAGTAGAGCTTGTGCTTTACTAATCTTTATAGACTTTGTAAAACCCTTAGAATACATTGAACTCCAGTGAGTGGTACTCCGTAAATGTTTGTTGTATTTAAATTAATTTACTATAAATTACACTAACCACAGGGTTGTTATATATTCAGTTCAGATTGGGAGCAGTGGAATGCATGCAGTTGTTAGTGTAATGTTGGTTCTTCTACCTTGGTGGAATTGGTGTTAGGGTTTTAATCACAAGACTGAGCTGAGCTGTCTTCTTGTAATTAGGAAATAAACTGGAGGGGAAAGCTTATGCACTGCTTATGTACGTATTTCCTAACTACAAGACAGTTTGGTTAAGACATACTTTTTAGCTCCGTCAGTACTCAGCTACATCAGAACCCTTTTAAACTATAGGATAATGTTTCAATCCATTGCCTAGAATTTTCCTTTCAAGGTGCCTGAACACCAAATGAATGAACTCTAACCTGGTGATCTCATTACCAAAGCCATAGACTATAGATTAGTATTCTCTCTCTCTATGCCATCAATAGAATGGTCATTCAAGTTAAGTAAATCAAGCTTAATTCATATTTAATTTTCAAACTGTATGTATAGAGCTCTTAATGTAATGGAGAGCAAGCTGGAATTTCTCATTAATATACTAGGACTGCACATAATCTTACAAGTGTATATTTATGGAAAGAATGCCCCATACTTAGTAGCTGTCATTGAGTCACATGACATGGTACAATGGTTTTCAGATTTATTTTTTCTAAGGAAATCTTTCCTTTAGTGACAGTCTGAACTGTGAAAGTCCAATGTGTAAGCCAAATTAAAAATGTACTTTGGTTGAAGGGGAAAAGGATAACGATTAAAAACGAGATCATCTGAGGACGCTGTTCAGACTTAAAAGATTATGTTAAGAAGTTATTTTGGAAAACTTTATTCTATACTCATTAATTACAAAAGTAACCCCATGCTTATTATAATAAATCATACTATAAAGATGAAATTAAAATTAGATTTCCCACCCACTTGATAAGCATTGTGAGGGGTGTGGACTCTCTCTCCCCCATATTCCTATGTACATTCATTATACTAAATGGGGATCATATGCCCTGCATGTTGCTGTTTTCACCTAACAGAATATTTTGGGCATCCTTCCCAGAAAATCCATAAGGGTAGAACTCATTTATTTTAATGTTTCAAAATTTTTGGAGTATAAAGATACCATAATTAATTCAACATTCCATTGAGGATGTTTCAAGCTTTAATCTAGGAAAAAAGGGTTTTTGTTTTAAAACAAACCATTACTTTTAGAGTTAAGGTAGTAACAAAAGAAATAACTCTTAAAAACACCAAATTATTCTCTGGCTCCAAGCATTGCACATCCAGTTATGTAAAAGCAGCAGTGACCTATTTAAATGTTATCAGATCAAAGGATAGGGTTTTTACATGTGTAGTATACATAGTCTTTGGACCTCAGCCAGGGTTGAGTCCGGGATCTTTCATTTACTGCTTTCTGCCTTGATATAGATCAAATTACCTCTTTGCTTCCATTGCTTCAGCTGAAGTAGAGTAATAAGAGTACTATTTAAAAGACATGAGTGTTGTTAAAGGAGATGATAATGCATATAAAGCAATTGATATAATACCCAGAACATAATAGATGCTCAAGAAATACCGGTGTACTTTTTCTTTTTTTTCCCTCCCAGAGAAGAGATCATATCCTTCCAAAAATTTTTATTTCTCCTCAGTCCCCCATCTTTCTCTACCTTTTCCAAACTGTGGAGTTCTGGATGATTCCATTGAGTTACTTGTAGTGATAGATTTAAAATATTATGATAAAAGTTAGCTTAGACTTTCTAAGTTCTGTGATGCCATTTATATTGTTATTTCTTCATCTATACACACCTTCAATTTTACTTGCCCTTAAAATAAGCATATGTTCAATTTCATTGAGATAACTTCGATATACAAATTCATTTCAGTTATCTATGTTTGTTGTCTTGAATTTCATTTATATTTCTCCAAGGGATGTTTCTCTAAATGTCTATGAATATATAATTTAATATTTTAGAGCATTATATTAGGTAGTGTTTTTCAAGAAAAAGGAACCTTTCACTCTGTGTTATCAGGCATCAGATGAGACAGTAAACTTTATATTCTTTAAGATTGTTCTAATTTGTGTTCTTTATATCATATACATGGTCAAAAATGTATAAAATAATTGGGTAAATACTTTGAAGTTAGATTATAGAGTACAGTAAAGAAACAAGCGATGTATTGGCTGAGTGATTTAAGGAATGAATGAAAAATAGCTAATAATATAAATACTTCAGATAGCTAGCTGAAAACCGATGTGACAACTTAAAGTTACTCTGGCTTAATGGGGTCTTAACTACATCATCTACAAAAATACAGGAATGAGTATTTGTTTATTCTTTCTATTAAATTTAGTGAACTCTCACTCTCTGTATACTATACATAAAGGGGTAAAGGAGACATCTGCATTTTATGTGCAATACTTAAAAGTCTCTACATTCTAGCAACCAGACAGAAAACACACAAAGAAGCAATCAAGACTGTTTGAGCTAAAGATTTGAGTAAGGAATGAAATAGCACTGTTGGTGGGAAGCAGAATGGCAGATGGGGAGGATAGGGAGTCTTCTGTGAGGCAGTGATACATGAACATGAGGCGTAAGTGATCAGAGGCCAGTCATGTGAAGAAACATGGGAAGGATGTTTTGTGCAAAAGGAACAGCATGAGCAGAGCACCCTGAGTGGGGAATAATTTGGGTGTGTTCTCACCACAGAATGCTAATCTGGGTGTGGGGAGCAACTTGGACAAAAGCAGGCAGTTTAAGAGGTGGGTTGAAGAGGTAGGCAGGGGCCCATGCAGCAGGGCTTCCTAAACTGTGGAGGGTGTTTGCATTTTATTCTGTTACACAGAGCTGTTGGAGGTTTTCAGCAGAGTAGTAGCTTTTTGGGATACATAATTTTGAAAGATCACTACTGTATAGAAAATGAACAGTATGTGGGGAGAGGGTTGACTAGACAAGAACAAAATCTTGAAATGGTCCAGGGAAGAGTCGGTAATGAGTTGGACTAAAGGGGCAGCAATGTCAAGATAACCAAAGAGATCGGTGTCAAGAGAAAAGCCTAAGTATCGAGAAACATTTTCACAAAGGAAATAAATTAATTTTGCTCAGGGAGTCCAAGTATTGATTGCATCCATTCCTTCTGCTTGCTGGGGCTAATCAAAAACATAGCAAATAGTGGATTTCAAAATTTGTTTACTATAAGATAAGTATTTGGCTCAGTAGAATGTAACACTGTTTTCAAAGACTTTTAACAAAATCAGAATTGATTCAATTTATAGCCACTTTAGAATTAATGTGCCAAAATTTCATTAGAGAAACTGTGTTGAACAACCATGTCACAATTAACAACTTTCTCTTTCTCCCAAAGATGGCATTTATTTGATGCTCAGAAGCTATAAAATTAAATGTGAGAATTAGAGGTATGTAATTTGGGCTGCATACAATTAACAATAGTAATAATGCAACAATATTCTACGTTTGCCAGTGTAATTTACTATAGTCACTCTTCGAAGCCCTGAAATAGATAACTTTTAATCTTGACAATAATCTCATACAATAGATACTATTCGCTCCAATTCTACAGAAAAGAGATATTCAGCATAACTAAAGAAGTCAGAACATGGGCCTCAAAGAAATCTAATAAATTGTTTTCCATATTGTCATTCCTGTCCTGTTTGGTACAGGAATGTTGTTACATTTGTGAATTGATTGCTCATTTCCTATCTAACTCCACCCGCTCCATTTCTTCACTGAATTCCATCCCTTCTCATCTCCTCAAAGACATGGCTCAACCAACTTTATTTTCTTTCATCATCAAAATTTCTCTCTGAACTGTAGTATCACCAGCCAGATATGTCCATACTGTTAATTTTCCTATCAAAAGAGAGAAAAAAACCCTCTCCTGTCTCTTTATGTCCTTCCAGTGACTGCCTCATTTCTCTTTTTCCCTTGAGAACAAAATTCCCTGACCTGCTGCCATGCTTGCCCTCTACCAGCTCTCCCTGCATGATCTCTTGAAGCCACTACTACATCAGGACAAACGCGGACGCCCTCACGCCACCAAAGCT